GTGTACTCAGAAATTAACAAATGAAGTCGTACTATTATAATCATAATTGTAGTCTAAACAAACGCTACTCAAGTGCTCTTATCGCCAATGTTATTCTTTTTACGGTAGCTTAATAGGTTCTTGAGTTTCAAGTGTTTATATTATACGTATCTTATCGCCGCCCGTAATGTAAACAATAAAAAAGGTACCAACCGATTAGAAAAGTGACAGGTATCAAATGTCACGCGCGCCGACGAACACAATCAAAGAAAACTTCTACAAACTTATTGTAAAATGATATATTGTTGCATGGTAAAGGCATACGCTCTAATGCTGGTTCTGTCTCCAAGGAATACCAGTCTCGAATTATTGTGGATTACGCTGTTTTTCTTTATAAACCAAACTTGTTATCCAAACCAAACGCTGTCAATGTTTGCCGACATTAAACATCTCTCAAACTTTCACAATGTAAACGCCTCTCAGGACCCAGAAACGAGAAAACAAAGACGAAATCCACTTAACGAAATAACATCAAATAAAGGAATTGTTCACTTAGCACCTCTGTCTTGTCACGCAAAAAGATAATAAGCTTTGACGTTAATAAAATCGTGGATAGACTACTTACTTAGATTCTCACACATACTTCTACCACACGGGCAAGCAGAGACAATAAGCCCAGTAACGTTTATTCGTAATAATTTTGATCTCGCCCTTAATCTGGTCAAGAAGAACGACCATCAACGTCTTTCCTTCCAAATGTACCTAAAAAATTTGTAAATTCTTTTATTATACTTCCTCTATTGTAATATTAATCATTAATTTTAATAGGATAGTGTCATACTATATTATAGTAGCAGGTAGATACATGAAAAAAGTAAGAAAGTTTATAAATAGAAAATTTCCTCTAGGGCCTTACCTTGAGGCATCGTGCCCAGAAGGCTCGCAACATTTCCCCTTTGAAATGCTAAACTTTACTTTGGTGGAAATAACAGCGAGGCTTGTGGTCACCGGAAGCTTCTACGAAGCGATCCGACAGGTCCTTCGCTAGAAGTTTCGCCTGTGGCCCCCAGGGACCCAGGGGTCAACCGCAAAAGGCACAAAGCTGTAGCACTGGGCAAGGTTGGCGTATTTGAGTCTTTTGCGGTTCTCGGGCGCTCTAGTCACAGAGCAGAGCGGCTACAAAGTCCACAAAAGTTGCGTCACACGCTGTCTGCCTAGCTTCCATGGACCGACAGTCATACCGTCAGGCCACTTACTGACACTGCGACAGATGCCAGTGGGTTCGAGAACCAACGGTATCTTAGCACTGGTGTAGGCCCGTACGATGATGCTATTGAATACTGCGTGTCGGGATGTGCGGCCAGTGCTGCGAGTACACAAGAAGCCATTGATGGGGATGGACTGCCCCCATCGGAGGCATACAGCTAACTGTGAGGAAAAGACCGTCTAATAACGTGCCGATGTTGACCGAGGCTAGTGCCTGTAGCCAATACTCAGGCTCCTTTTCAAAGGTGTCTAGGAGACGAGCCCATTCTCTAAGGTCGGTGGCAGAGTGTATAAGTTCTTCTTGTAAGATCTTGCAAAGCAACTAGTCACAGCGCCTTTGTTGGTGTGGAAAAGACGGAACATTAATGTCGGGAAAGAAAAGAATAACTGAATATTGTTGTATCTAATCATTTCCATCTGTTTTAAGAGACACAGACGTAATTCTTTTGCGCAAAAATGTAATATTTCATGTGAATGGAAATGTGGTAACATTCTGGCTATGTGTAAATATGCTCCATTCACTGCATTTCCGGCTTTCACCCTCTGATTAATAATCGTAGATAACTTAAAAATTGACATTTGTTCTAGCTTCTCGCCACCACCAATTATAGCAATGTTTTTTGTGTGAAAACTTTCATCATAGGCTGCTTACAACTGATATAAATATCTAATGAAATATCCTTAAAGGCCCTTCCACCATTAACTATGAATTCATGAATAAGTATTATCCCGTTAGATTCAGTAACTAATTGGCATTTCAAGTAACATCTTTATGTGTGCCAAATAATCGATCAGCATTTGGGCGAGGTGTTTTTGAGTTTCGTAGTAACCTCATTTTATTGGCATACAATTTGATAGCTTGATACTTAAAAAAGTATATCGTCAAACGAGATGTAATGGTTAATCGTTCGTTTAACGCTGGAACATGAGACGAGTACCTCAAAATAGAGTACTGCGAAATTAATTTAAACTTGTAAGGCATACGGTAATTATTGTAAAGACTGAGTGAACTGTTTTCCGTTCTCGAGGCATTCATTTGTTGTCGAGTATTATCACTTAAGCACCCCGTAAACGATCAAATAATTTGTAAAATTTTACGTGTTTATCAAACTTTTTGGCCGTCTGCGGTCGTGTTTGATGCGTTTGTCAAATAATGTACGTTTATTATGTGTTTGATGGAAATCTGGATTGACAGTGTGTTTCACAAACATGTTTGAAGGTATGCTTGGTTTGTCAAACCAAACTTCAGTTGTCGCCTATGCATTCATCTTGCTAGATTGCTATAGTCGTCTGGTTCTGTGCGCAATATTTAAAAAAAAAATTTCGTGGATTTGTTTTCTCTTTCAAACATTCTCTATATTTAGTATATTTCTATTTATTTTAATATATTGTGCTAGAGTTAATGGCCGAAACGCTTTATCTATAATTCTTACTCATTGCACTAATTACAAAGAGATATGACTCACTGCATTAACCTTAGCACGGTACGTACGACTGTAGAAAAAGATGACCGAGTGTGAGCTACAGGTATGTTTGTTAAACTTGTTTGATGGTTTATTTGGTCGTGTGCGACATTTTTTGAAGAAGACGTGAAGTTTGAAGGATGAATTGGACAAATTATTTGATCGTTTACGGTGCGCTTTATATATTTGAAATATATTATAAATAGCACAACTTTTTTATAAACTTATAAAGAGAAATCTTCCAATCATACTTAAGCGAATCCCACTTCAACATGTTTATCTTGCCCATTCTTATCTACGGTGCGCAAACATGGTCCCTGACCGAAAATCAAAAGTTCCAGAACAAGGTTTACCAAAGAGCAATTGAACGTAACATAATTTAGTGTAAAGAAGATGGATAGGGTCCGGAACACTACAGTGTGCTCGATAACACTTATAGTCGATATTGGGAAAAGGACTGGTAAACTGAAATGGGACTGAGATGGATACCTATCGCATGCCGCAACAGAGATGGGCTCACACAGCCAATTGATGGATGTCGGAGAACGGCCAGCAACGACAAGGCCGGCCATGAAGGCCTGACATTACATCAAAGAGATACCTTTGCCCAGCAGTGGGACGTAATAGACTAATTAAAAACAAAAAGTTTGACTCTGGACGAGAATATCCCGGTTTCAAATCCCGGTATGACCAATTTGGGAAACGAACTGTTTTAAACTGGTTTTGATCCACGTGTTTTGGGTAGTGAATTCTCATATTACAGGGAAGTCTCTAGTTTGAGATCAGGTAATTGGTATGTGCAGAGCCTCTTTTGTGGCACTCTCGATGTTGTAGACACTGGCTCGATCACAGACGTACATACGCACAGCAACGTCTCAGGTCCACTCTCGCCTCTGGCTCCCGTGTGACAAATGTGGCACCCCGTAGACTGTATGTGTCTATTTATGTATAGATACTGCCATGGACACTACAGTGTGTATGTCTAGTACTTTATGCAAATATAACTACTTTTTTTATCAAATTCTCTTAACAAATCCTATGTCGTATCAAAATTCATTAACAAAGTCAAAGGCAGAGATATACTTGAGTTCGGTGTCATGTCTCTGGTAATTCAATATGCTTAGGATACTTTTACGCGTTAGGAAGGTAGCTGGAACATGTCTTGTTATTTTTATATACAAAAAATGTTGTTTCCTGCTTCGCAAGGTGCTTGTTTTTCCTGGCTTCAAATAATAAGTATTTTCAACATGTACATTTACAGAGGACCACAGATAAAAACTGCCAGAATTCTATGTTCAAATTGTGCCATATGTTGTTTACCAATCGTCCAAATTTGCTGTTTATGTTTTAGGTTGTAAAGTTTTAAATTTCAACTGAGTAATTTTTACACATGTTACTCAGTTGAATAATATAAACACCAAATGTTTTAGGAATTATCTAGGAAATAAATTTTTTATATAAAAAAACCTACCTCAAAAGTTCGTACAATTACAGTTTCCCAAGTTGTATTGAAATCGGTCACCGAAAAGTGCGCGAAACCGGATTCATACCCTAGTTTGTCACCCTAAGAGATGGAATATTTCCTTCAAATTTAAATGGGACCAATACTGAGGTACCTTCTTTTCAACAAAAAAAGAATAATCGAAATCGGTTCATAGAGTTATCGCGTAACGCATTATGTACAAAAAATACAAAAATACCGTCGAATTTAAAATCTTTTCCTTTCTTTTTGAAGTCTGTTAAAAATGTCATTTTTCTTCTCTTAGTATATACTTATATACGGCAAAGTGTATATTGTTTTTTTTATTATGACAAAGTCAGTTTTTTCAGAAAATCGTATCGAGACGCTGCTGTATTTTATATATTTTCACTTATAGTATTTCGAAATTTAATAGAAATACTATAAAGAACAAAGAACCTCTCTAAAACGAATACGACTTACTGAGAACCGGAAATACATTCATCGCCACCACCACAACGTCTAAATCTATTAGGTCAGCATGCTGGTATAAACAGATCTTCAGTTCCCACTTTTTTTTTGTCTTAAAATCAAAATATAAGCTGGTAACGCCATGGAGCAATTCTGGAACTAAAGTAAATCTTTTTGCCATCTGTTGATAAACTGTGGTATTGCTACGTCAATTGGTGTTGTCAAATTGTAGGTCGTGTTCTATATAATACGAAAACAAAAGCTATTTTTTGCAGCCAGCCTTATAATTCATTAAAAGTTGTTTATAATAATATATTTTACTTGAAATGACACTAGTTAATATCAGCGCCATCTGTTTGCAGGCGCGGTCAAAACTTCCCAAGAAACGTCGTCGAGTGCTACCTGTGGAACAACCCCGTAGGAAACGCGAGTGCACCGCTTCCAATCGGAGAGTGAACGCAGTAAAACACCCTGTGGTGCTGAAGGAACTTTCGCCTGGAAATAACAAATTTGGTAAGTAACAAGTGAGGGAAGGGGCCGATAGATGGCGCTAAGTGTGAAAGTTCCTTATTTTAATTCGTATCGTATTTGGACTTCTCTATTTTTAAATTAACCAACATATTAACGTCAAACAATGTGTACTTAATACAATTTTTAAAGAAACTTTTATTATATCGCTATATCACACATGTTTGCAAAATTTGCATTTATCCTTAACTAATTTTGATTTGTGTTTGTAGTACATACAAGAGTTATAATGTAATTTAATATTTGATATCGCATTATTGCCAAGAAATTTGCCCTGTTCATAATTTAATGTATAAAGACACATTTTCTTCCGAATTTTAGGAGTCAACGGTGTGAACATGATAAGCCTGGCTCTGCAAGGGCCCTCCAACTTACTTAGGCCGCCAACAGCCAACCCACAGCCTCTTCAGGCTCGAGCCCCCACGGGTAACGCCTGCATTATTTTTATTCCTTCTCCAACACCGTCAGTTAAAATGATAAAACCTGAGCTTTTGTAGCTGCTTCATTTTAGATTTGCTTTGTAAAATTTAGGATACCGTCACTTTCTATATAACAATACAGGCTTATATTTTATTTTAATACCTGGGAATAGTTGAGTTACTCGTAATATTAAATTAACATCTGTGCTTATGATAATTGAGACCTTCCCAGTAACTGCTTCCAGTAATTACTAGGTACTTTGTGTGTTCTTAAGTTATGAGACGAAGTTAAAGTTACATCAAAATTAAAAAGAATTAAGTTTTGTTTTTAATTTTTTTGGATAATCGTAAAGTAGATACTTACTTAAAATTAAACTAACTTAAAAATAATAGAAATTAATTTAAAAACCTACAAATCGATACCTGTTTATTTGGTATGGGATACCTTCTCCAAACAACACTACGCCTTTATACTTTTTGGTCATTTTATGTTATTTTTTTAAAAAGCCATATTTATTTGCTAATATTATGCTCCCCGAATGTTCTGGAAAAAAATAAAGAAACAAAAAACAAAATTAAAACAGAACAGGTCGAAATATTAGTGTTCATTGGAGGATCGAAATAGAACACAAACGTTCCAAATTCAAAATAAATTAATAAATAAAATTTAAAAAAAAAGGAAAAATAATTAAAGAGCTGCGAGTACTGTTTTGTTTTATTTTCTAAAGTCAAAGTTTGTCTCAAAACTTATGAACACACGAGGTATATTGTAATCCTTTGCGCACTTAAATAAATATAAATGCACCACACACAACTGCTGACAAATTACCAATGTAGATAATATTATTCCATATTTTTTTCCAAAACCTTTCATGTATCTGTTGTTACCTTATTTTTCATGATTATCATCATCAACCAATTTATATGTCCCACTGCTGAGCACGAGTCTCCTTTCAGACGAGGATTTAGGCCATAGCCTGCGGCGCTGGCCCAATGCGGGTTGGGGACTTCACATGTTTTTTATTATAAATTTCGCACATAAATTCCAAGAAACGTAGAGGTGCGATTCGAACCCACGACCCTCTGTTTGAGAGGCAGTAGGTCAAACCATTAGGCTACCATGGCTTCACCTTATTTTTACTACCCTGCAACTGCAATTTATTAGAAATTATAGGATACTGCGTGAAAAAATCTTAGAAGTTATTTGCAAAATCCTAACTATTAACATAAATCCTATATCTATTCCAGTTGAAAGTCCAATCGTGAACACCCAGTCAGCAGCCATTTCCCTTGCGTCTCTGCAGCCCCCCCTGATGACAGCACCACCCTTGCAACCAAGACCAGCAACCACAGGATCCCTGGACCTTATGCTGCCTTTACAACCAAAGTTACTACCAGGTTATAACCTACAGAGCTCATTTCTATCCACCACTTTATCCACTGTTAGGCCACCTGATTTCCTTGACAAAAATGATTTAAAAGACGAGTTTAAGCCAAGTATTGACGTGATAGTCGAAAAAAGGGAATCTGTAGATTCTATCGAGGAAGATAGCTGTAATAATGAAATTTTCGTAGATAGTAATGTAAATAATGAAAGAGAAGATAATTACAACAATATAATAGATGAAATAAATGATATTGAAATTAATGATAATGAATGTAATGAAATCAACTCGAATGTCATTACTGATACTGTGGTTAGCTTAGATGATAGTCCGAATAATAATTCTTATTAATTATTAGTACTAGGTGTAAGATAAATTTTTTATTGTAAAACCCCATTTAGTGTTAACGAGAATCTCCCATTAGATTTACCATGTAAAGTTTACTGACCAGATTGAAGAGAAATAAAAAGGATGTATTCAAATATTGTCGCTAAAGTGTTTAATGACACATAAATATAAATATCTATAATTATCTCTACAATTCATAAATTCCGTCAACACTATTAATTAGTACTGTGATGTCTTTAGTAAAGAAAAGAATAAAATTTTCTATATTCGTATTGTTAGAACATCAAATTCTATATTAGAATATGTTTTATCTAACTTTTTAATTCATAATTTATCTAAAATGGAAGTTAACTTAGTTGATTAGAACAGAAAAGCAAAGAAAGATCCTGCAGCGCACATTTAATAAAACCACGGCATTGAAAATATAAAAAAAACAACGCTATCACGTTGAAAAATGTCAAAACGACCTAACATCTACAATGGTTTTAAGCAACACCACACACATTAACGAAGCCATCTGTAGTGGTGGTTCTAGTTGACGAATCTTAGAAGTGTTTGCTCTAATTTAAACAACAGATAATACAATGGCCAGTGCAATTTAGATCTGCAATTTTCTTTTTTATCTAATGGCGGCTTCCGACGGTCCCACCAAGAGAAAAGACGTCAAGCAGACGCCACCATCGCTGTGCAAAGACCAATTGTACAAGGCCTTTAGCATTCTGTAATTGGTTAATTATTAATATGAATTGGGCGGTACTGGTTTGTGATTCTCGGTGGTTGTTGTGTGATTATGATATGGACAAATGCAAAATAAATCATTTCAAATAGTAAATGATTAACATAGCCAATCATGAATGTAATAGTTATAAAATTACTAAAAAGATAATTAAATAATGTAAAGTTGAAATTTTTTTTAAAGAGAATGAGTATTTAGCATTATTGACCAAAAGTAGTAATGTAGTCAATAGAAATGTAAAAATTAAAGAAGTGTTTTTGTATATTTTGTAAGTGAAAGACGTGACAGTGATAAAATTGTGAATTTCAAATTGTATAGTTTGATGGAAGAAACAAAATATTCTTTGAATTTAAAATAAGAGCATGCAATGAATTTTAATAAATATTTTGTTGAAAAGTTTATAGATGTTAATTATTTTAATATTAGTTTTACGCGTTTGCAAGGAACGTACGGCGAATGATTATTACAGTATTCATTGCAAGTAAAATAAAGGACAATTTGGCTATAGTCAAATTGTCAATAATAGTGAAAAAGAGATTGAACCTTCTGATATGAATGAAAAGCAGTTCTTGTTGACCGTTAATTGTACAGTAGGCTACATAATCCCAGTGAACAGTAACCAAACTTCAGTCGCATTAATCTTAAATGCGTAAAGGTCACAAGCTTTGCCAACTTAACCGCTCACGCGATACATGCAGTCGTAGACGCATACCACACATAGAGGTGCCGGTGATGATTTTATACCGATTTATCGGATATCGAAGTTATAACAGGTAAAAGAACTAATATTAATTGCTATTTCGGTAACTACTCTAGCAAACCATAAAGTTTTAATGCCTGGGCCTGTCATTTAAAAAAAATAAACAACTTCAAAAATACGTCACGACAATCGTGTGTGTTATTGTTTGGGCTGGTGATTTCGGTGTTTATTTATTGAAAACATACCGTAACTAGCGTTTTTTAAGCTTACCCTGAATATAAATGTTTATAAACTATACTTTAAGGAGTAATTTCATGGTAAACGTTAGAACCACTCAAACGGAATATTATCATATTTATCCAAGTACACCAAAAATTTCAATTTTTAAGTGCAGGATTTGCGGTGTATTACTGCATTTTATTTGAAATGTTTTTGTTGGTAGTACGAAGGGTATTTATTTATCAATGCAGAATAATAATTTTTATTTATAAATACTTGTATTTAAACTGAATGATTTTCTAATTTGCGTAACCAAATAGCCGCCATTTTGCGGTAGGAGGAGCGCATCGCGTGAGCGGTTAAAGAAACTTGTGAATTTATCATATTTTTGAAGCTAAAAAACAATTTGTAATCTAGTCGATATGTGCCAAATGTAATGTAAATTGTGAAAACACAAGTAGAAAAGTCTAGGATAGATAAATGATGGCTGTTGATCGTTAATACGGTTAGGATAGTTTCTCTATTTTGAACTAAGACATAGGTGATCTGACAGTAAATAAAGAAATCAATTAGAAGATTATCTTCTACTACAATTAATAGTTCATCTCTACTACTGAAAGTTTCCATAAGAATTCTCTGTGTCTTGGCAAGCGAAATAGTAAAATCGTTACTCTTTGAATCCAGAAGGATCCAAAGTGCAAATCCCAATAGTAAAATTATGACAAATACAGCTGATATAAATGCACAATATTGTGACAATCCAAACAATAATAAACAGTACATTATAAAACACAAATGAGGATTCAAATATTATAATCCATTTATTAATATACAAAAGGTCCATTTGCATTAGCCTGTTGTCAATTGTCGCTCGTAAGTCGTCCCAAAACAGTGAAGCCGCCACGCCTGCCCGGTAAAGCCGCAATCTAATAATAAAGGGAGATGTACTGCATAAATCCAGGTTTAATCCATTTCTCGCTTTCTGTGACACCTATCGGAATATAAATACCATTTAAGGTGTCAGATCATCGGTGTCAATTTAACTATAGTATAATGAAAGTGTTAATTAACCTAATACATTGTCGAATATTGTTATCCCAGCTGTAAATTTGACTACTCTTAAACGTTATCTTAAAGTAAGATTTTAGAATATTTTTCTAATGTTACGAATTTTTGTTGTTTTTCTAAGGATCCGTCTGGATTTGCTATCTGTTAAAAAACTTTTACTTCAATTAATAATTAAGTTTTATATCGATAAAGCGTCCATTTAGATAGAGGATACATTAAAAGGAACTTGGGATGAATAAAATTAATTACACAGACCTATTACTCTAAAATGACACAAATTTATAGAGGTTATGGAAACTTGGGGAAAGGTCGACCTCGGCGTACATATTTCATCCAGATTAACTATGTCCTTAAAAAGGCCGGGTCAATAGTAACAAGAGTTAATGGTCGTATATCAAAGAGTGAGTGGGGAGGAAGTGGAAGAGGCATTTTAGACGTTGCAGATGGTAATGTGTCCTCTTGTGGTAAAAGTACGACATTCTATCAGTGCTGCTAACTTTTAAAAAACGTAGCAAACTCTCTTATACTATAAAAATTGAACTAAAAAAATTACTTACCCATCTAAAGTTTCGTAGCAGTAGCACTCCTTATGAAAGAGTTTATCATGGGAATTACTGCCACCATACCTATTTCTGTCGACAAGCAGCGTGTGAGCACAATTTCGTTTCGGATTTTTAAGGGGTAAGGATGCTAATGAAATTACGGGCACGTGGAACTTGTCAACTTTAAGTTTCAGGGTTTCAGGGTAACACACTGCAACTCTTATTGATGAGAGCTGTTTACTTTACCATCAGGTGTACGACTTCCTCGTGTCGTCACTTGATACCATAAAAAGTCTTTATTCACTCCGAAGTCTCCATTCATCCCATGATTTCACCCCATTCTCTACTTATCTACTAATAATTTTATTCAATGACAGCAAATTCAAACTGAGCATAATAAATTGGAATGTACTATGTATTGTTTAAATAAACCAAATCAAATTAATCTGTCGTTTTATTGTAGAAAGACTTTACAAGCAACATTCACGGGCTTTGAATGAATTGACGAGAGCAGAACAAGTAATAGCAGTGCCAATATGTTGATGTTAGAAACTAAACAAACACGATAGTAAACTCTGTCGGATCTTCGCACAACAACAATCTAACAAGCCCATGGATGTGTACATAAATGTAACTTGTCCCAACCCGCATAATTCTCTAGTAATGAAGCTCAGAGGGGTTGAATGGATTTCTGAACCCGGATGGACCTTTGGAAATTGCGGTGGTTATGCAAAACAACGTAACTTTTTTTTATTAATGACATGTACGTACTCGTATTTGCTGCACATACGTGCGAGATTTTCCAATAGACTTACAGTGCTTCCATTTTCTCAGTGTTCCTCGGCAATCATCAGATTTTACACGCGAATATTAATTTCCATGTCCATTAATTAATAGATTTGCCCCATGCCGGACTGCCACGCAGAGGTCCCAGGTTCGATGCCCGGGCCGGGAGAAATAGTTGTATGGCCTACAATTATTTCTCTCGTGAGTTTGGGTGTAATTTGTGGTTGTCTATGTGTGTGTCCATGGCACCCGCGACACAGGGTTTTCCCTAGTGCGGGGCTATGTTGAGTGTGTGCGTTATTTATTTATTTATTTATTTAAAATCTATAATAATTTAAATTTTGAACAACGTCCTTTATTGTTGTTTGTATTGTTTTGATTTCCGTGTGAACTATACTTAATGTTAATAAGTAAATTAACAAAAATACAATGTAAACAAAGTGTATTTCTTTTACATTAATTAAAAATGAATATTTTTTCCGGTTATTACTTATTTCAATTCAGTCCGCATTTCTTCACCTGACATAGGTATGTCAGTATGTTCGCCACCAATAGCACAATACCATACCACTACCGCCATGAATCTTTTTTGGCGAACGTCATGCTTTTCCTTTACGACAGCTCTATTCCTTTCTGTTTTCTTACATCGAAAGCTCATATCTTTCAAAATTGGCCTTAATGTCTCCAGACAGCCTACAAATTGGATAGCCTCAACCTAATCACATAAATGTGGTCTGTGGTGAATTAAAATCTTAAATCATGATACGTATGACGCAATAATCAAAATCAATTCGTGAAA